CCAGTCATCCGCGTCTATACCCTCGTTTTGGGGTTTTAAACAATGGAGTGGTCTTGTCGGATCGTCAGCTTTAAGATGTTCTTTGGGTATCCACACCGATACCCTCACTCTGGGAGCAACATCGATGCGTAGTACCCTCAGGTTTGCCCCTTCCCAGGTGTTTAGTTTTTGGATTACCTTTCTTAGTCATTCCGCAGCCTCGTTGTTTGCGCAATGCAAGTGAACCATGCCATATTCTACTTGGCTATGGTTGAACTTGGGTCCTTTTCTAGGTTGGCACTTCCAAATTTCGAGGATAGCTTCCTGTACCTTTTTCCCTTGTTCTGCTGTCATCTTAACGTCAGGTTAGGTACTTGTAATGACAGCCAGACCATTGAGGGTTTTGTGAGGTGATGGTGTTGATCCCTCTGAGCGGATTCTCTGAATCCCCTTTTGCTGCTGGTTCGCAGTAGCTGTTGAAGTTTTTTGTGCTCCAGTGTTATCAGTGCCTAAAGTGCCTTGTCCCTGTTTAGAAGTTTGGGCGATATTTTTGGAAACCAGAGGATCTAACGGTACAAAACTCCGTCCAGTTTTAGATCTTGATTTAGGCTTCGAAAACGGTCAGTTTGGGCACCGAGCCCTTGGGCTTCGTTTTCGAGATAATCGGCTTTGAAGGTTTTCCGAAATTTGAAAGAAAGTTTCAATTTCGAGCCTCAACATCTCGAAAACTATTGAAAATGCGGCTTACATGTGATAGTTAAATCATGGCCAACTGGTATCCGATTTTGCAGATCCCAACTACAGAACTGTTTCGGACTTCTCGCGTCTTATCAGGTGGTACTTAGAGATTTTCCGAAATGGCAAAGTATCTATAGTTGATACTAATTAACAGTGTTATTAGTTCCGCTGATAGTTTTCCCTGGACTTTTTGAATTCAGACTACTTGAATGTTTATTAGTATTGACTGATTCCTGTAATGATTGCAAATTTTGGCTTTCTGTGAACCAAGGCAGATAATAAATTGCATAAATGCAAAATCATCAATAAACCGTTTCGAGTTTATATTACAACTCGTAATAGCCTGATTTTCCTTATTTTTTCTCATTAGATAAATAATCACGAAAAAAATGTTTCGAATACCGGCAAATAATTAAAATTAGATCGGGCAGTTTTAAAATTAGTTCAACTAATTATATTTTTAGCAAGAAAATTCCGGTGGGCATACCTACGCAAAAGCGCACCAGGTATTTTCATGCGATTTACCTACAAAAAAATATGCAGTAAATATTTATACCATGCCACTCTGGGAAATGTTTTCCAAGGCGAGTACGTATGTAAATCCCAATCTCTGATCAATTTTCCCTCCAATTTTTTTTTGATCAGTTGTACATAATCATATACCTTATTAAGATTTCAATTAATTTCAGTCATTAGTAATAAACTTAAGGATTTTACGAAGAAAAGGTTAAATAATTTTGTAAGCAAAACGTTGACAGTATCTCTGATAAATATTTAAATTATTCTTAACATTGCATCATCATATCCGAGATAGGAATTCTCGTGTGCGAATTTGCGAAAAACTCAAAAAGATTAGCACCTTACTACATTGATTAATAGTATGCTTTTTATCTGGAAAATTGATTGTTTCAGTAAAAGCCAATCTATGAACTTTATGTTTATCCTAATCTCAACAATATCTTAATGATCCTAATGTGGGTGCAACCAAAAAAAATTTCTCGTACAGTACCGATAAAAGTTTATGCTAAATGAATGAAAAATCTAGACCAACGACCATATACTTATTCGAGTAATGGGTAGTAAGAGTTATCTATTGTGTTACAAAATATCTAGTGTCACATGGTAATAAAATTACCAATTTTATTGTGCAGTTGCTATAGTGCATTAAATTTGGAATGTTGTCGTAATTGACCCTGTTGTTTTATATTTGGATTAAAGAATACTTTGTTTAATCTTATAGATTTGCTGAAGATTGGAAATTTGAGCAAACAAGGCTATATACAAACAAAGCTACATTGAATATGGAAAATAGGTTGAAAATACAACTTTACTTGTACCAAAACCAGGGAGATCTTGAGTAGTTGTTTGAAAAAAAATTCAGATATCGACGAAATGTATTCTCTGTATCAAATCTGTATGTTCCTTAATCAATTTGTCTGACCAGGGACAGTTGGGTCTTCAGTCAGACTTAATGATTGGGAACAATGGGTTCATACTAGAGGGCTGAACATGGGACATGCAAGGGCTTGAACTGATAGGTACTATCAGACAGGACCCTCTTCTCACCAGAGTCCTTATTCTTGAAACATGGGAGCAACGTTCCCAGAAGAATGAGTGTTCCGTCTTCCGTCTTCATTATTCATTATATCATTTGCACATCATTTAGAAACATGGAACACTCGATACCTCGGGTACAGGTTTCTTTTGGTTGAAATTGAATCAATATTATAAGCCAGAAACAGTGCACAAAATGCGATATAAGTTTTATCAGTGTCCTCATTAATCTTTCATTGAAAAATGCAAAAAAAAATGGCGATTAAAATTAAACGGTTTGCGTGGTCGGTGGTCCGCTGAAAAAAATAATAATAACTGGAAGCTAAATAGCCGTTTAATCGATCGCTAAAATATGCTATCAAAACACAAGGCTGATTTACTTATGTTTCCTATTCGTCAGCATATTATAATTTTGCTTATCAATGTTATTTAGATGATACTTTCAAGACAGACAACATTTCTCGATGTAGATATCAAAATGTGGAAATTCCTCCTCTGGGAAAATTATAATGGGCAGGTTATCCAGCCTACGTGAGCCCTCTAGACAAATTGCAAACCGGGATCAACAAGTGGCAATCGGAATCCGGACCAATGGGAAATTGTTGTAGCGTGGGTGCACGATTATAATAGCAGGTAGCTGTCCTGTGGGAATTTTAGTTGAAACTTGACGCACTCCGGTAATAAGTGAATTATTTTTTGATTATGGATATTATATTTTAAGCTGTAAGTCCATAATTATATATAATCAAATTATTAATCATCCGCACATGTATTTTTAGACAAAATACTACTTTGTTTTATTTTGCTGCACGTATTCTCATGCTAACAAAACTTCCTATAAAAGGATAAGATTTATCTATAGTAAAACCTTACATTATCATGTAAAAGTTTGTAAATCCTGGCGCCAACTTGTCTACGCTGAGTAATAAGGAAAAATTGTGCAATTTTGTACGACGGATTTTAGTGTGCTTTGAGCTCTTACTTGGACAATAAGTTTGTTATCGAAAAATCCGGTTTTGTGAAGTTTGTTTAGGAAATTGATTGTTGGTAAGATTGTTATTTTTGTCCTAATTATTCGTTTTATAAGTCAATTTCTAATGGTTGTTTAGTGTGCATAAAAATATTCTGAAGCTGGCTTTAGTCGAAACTTACCTAAAATCACCTTTTTACATTAGGAAGCTAGAAAATGACATCAGAATTGATTCGATTGATCTTCCTTAATGTTCATTTTTTCATAATTCTGGCCTCTTGATCTGAATCAAGAGTCAAGAGCCAGTAATAGTCACAAGATTCATGAATAATTCTTCAATGTAGCTATTTTTTTGGAATGTTGCTATTATGAAAATCCTTTATTTTGAAGCTACATAATGGCATGAGCATTGATTTGATTGATCTTTCTCAATGTTCAAATTTTAATAATTCGTAGCTCTTGATCCGAATCAAGAGTCAAGAACCAGTAACAGTCACTCAATTCATGAATAATGAATAGTTCTCCCATGTAGTGATTCTTTTAGAATGTTTCCATTATGAAAATCCTTTATTTTAAAGCGACAAAATGGCATGAGAATTGATTCGAATGATCTTTCTCAATGTTCAATTCTTGATATCTCCCGACTCTCGATCCGAATCCAGAGTCAAGAGCCAGTAATAGTCACTCGATTCATGAATAGTTCTCCAAAGTAGAAAGCCGTCTAGAATGTTGTCATCATAAATCCTCTTTCATTCTTGATATTCAATGTTTTATGTCAATGGGAAGTTACAAAATAGCATGAGAATTGATCTGATCTTTCTCAATGTTCAATTTTTGATGAATTCGAATCAAGAGCCGGGAATAATCACTCTATTAATGATTTCATCAAAGTAGCGACTTTTTTAGAATGTTGCTACCATAAACCGCCAATGGGAAGCCTCACAATGGCATCAGAAATAGAATTGATTCGATTTGCTGATCCTTTTGAAAAGGGGACATGTTAGGCCTATATGTCCAAGAGTTGACGCAAAGGGTTCATTGATGATAATGATCATGGGAATAATAATGAGGGTACACTGAAAAAAAAAATCAGATTTCTCACTATTCTAAGCCTATTAAATGATTTAAGTGTCTTAAGGCTAGTGATGGTAAGGGAGAATATTGCCAAGAGAAGTTTCGGTAATATATACGTAAAATACCAAATTATTGTACGAAATTAAAACTGGAAAATCCACAGGTTGTTGATAGAATGGTAATCGATGAAAGATTTTAAATTAAAATTAAAAGATATCGACACTGAAAAGGATATTTTTTCACCTTACCTGGCTTTACTTCCAAACTCCACTCAGTTGGCCAGCTCTTTCAGGAAGTTGTCGCTATGAACAATCACTTCACATAGCTACTGTTTTGCGGAATTGTTTTTTTTTTTGCTCTTAAAAATTCTTGAAAATTAATAGGTACATAATTCCACTTTTGCTTTGCTGTATTTTGAAAGTTACCGAAAATTACCGCAAATTACGGTAACTAGTTCTTACCAAATTATAAATTACCGGTAATTTGCCATCACTACTTAAGGCGACTCGTGATGAAGAAACTAGGGAGCACTAAAGTTTTAAGCGCTACAGTTCTGTGGTTTCGATCCAAATTAGACCATCTTCAGGACAATTCATTGAAAATCACCCTGTATACCTTGCAATAGTGTAGTTAATTTATGTTATATAGGAAAGCATCATCATAGTAATTTCTCTTGTTCTTTCAGATAAAAAGCAACGACACCCTTATTACGAGGAAAAAAAAAAGAAGAAAAATGTCAAATGAAAAACTTTCTTCGATGCGGCCATCATTTGGCCTGAATCAGTAAGCGGTGGATTGGAATAGGGGAGCGGGGGCCGGTGTTACCCCCCTCGAAATTCACCCACGCCTGCACTGGCTACTATGCTAATTGCACATTGGATCCAAGCCCTTGTCGCGGTAAGAATTTGACCAACACATAGAAAATAATACATAAATGAATGATGAATTTCTTATAAATCAAGCAAAATCAAACTGATAATTCTAGTGTTTAATCCATAGTAAATTTTTAAAGCATTTCTTGGGTCTTAAGTTCTGATAATGATTACTGCTGGTGTTTCCACAAAATCATCATCATTCATAAACTACTAGTGACAATGATATACTGTTTAATATAAATCATTTTCACCGCATTCTTCCCTTCTTCTTCCAATGAATGTAGTCTTTCAGTTAAGGCGGAAATCGACGATCTCTATTCGAACATGTCTCTATATGCTATGCTGTTGAAGGAGAAGCTTAAGAATTGCTTTATGAGTGAGTCGGTAGCGGCTGATTCTATTTTATTTTGATTTGATTGAAGATTATCTGCTATTGACTAGTTTAGGTTTATTTAACTGAGTTTGAATGATTTTCTCATTTTCATCCGACTATTCGGTGATAAATGCTTGTGAAACAGATATTTTTTCCCATTTTTCAGTCTGACGAATGAATTCTATCAGCTCAACTTTTTCAACAAAAGGTTCATATTTGCTTGTGCGAATATGCCTCTTCATCAAAACTTTTCTCGGAGAAGTTAGGCAAGATGGCAATGACTCGCCCGGAGTAGATTTTCTGTTGTAATGAAACATTTTTTCATGTGGAGTGGCATTCGTTTCTGTTCAGAGGAGAGATCTAAACAATGTAATAATTCATCCAGAACAGATTTTCATCTGTATAAATACACATTTGAGCGATAATTGAACTGTACTCCAAATTGTACCATTCTCTTTCTCTCTCTATTTGTTTATTTTCTTCTCGATTGTAACTGGTAGTTCTACTGGTAGCTATTCCTCGCTCTTGCAAAAAGTTTTCCAATTCTGAAGACATTTAAGCAGATCCACGATCTGGCTGTATAAATTTTAGCATTCCAAATAGTTGAAAAATACTTGTCGAGTGCTTCTTAACGGAAGCTGCTGAAACATCAGGGCAGGGAAAAGCAAGAGGAAATCGGGAGTATTTATCGAGTATAGTATAAATTTATTGTTTGTCGAAGTTGGTAATGGTCCTTTACCACACCCCTCTCCGCATTGGAAGCTAGTCGGCAACCCTTCACACGAAGTCCCGTTTCTAGATTTTAGCCACCGACCAACCCTATCTTTCTATTTTCTCTTTGTTTTTGTTACCCATTCACTGTCTCACTTCAGTCACTCCCTCAAATTTAATTATTTACTTTTCAATGAGTTTGACATGTAACAAATTGGCGCCCAACGTGGGTCACGATAGAAAAAAGCAAATCGTTATATGAAGTCCAAAAACCCGATCTACGGGATGATTTTTTCTGAGCCAAAATAAAAGGAAATAAGCGTATTCGCCTCACTGGATAGCATACCTAGTCGATTTATTTTGTTCTTGTTCTGGTTCTAGTGTTAATAATTTTCAGTGCTCAAAGGCGTTCGGAAAACCCACTCCGAACCTACTCTAGAGTCAAATCTGTTCTGGTTCTAATTAAAAACCCGTACCTGATTGTAGAAAAGCGTTTCAATTTTGTCCTTCCTTCTTGTTTATTTTTTATATTTCAGGTTGTGCTGTTATAGGTCCGTAGAAGTTTCCTGCTTTCGTTATATCGGCGCTCTATATTTAATTATTTAATTGATCCACACCCCTCTCCGCATGGGAAGCTAGTCGGCAACCCTTCACACGAAGTCCCGTTTCTAGATTTTAGCCACCGACCAACCCTATCTTTCTATTTTCTTTTCGTTTTAGTAACCCATTCAATGTCTCACTTCAGTCACTCCCTCAAATTTAATTATTTATTTTTCAATCGGTTTGACGGGTAACAAAATCCATGGATCCTTTCAAATAGAACTGCTGCATTTATTAATGTTCCTTTATTTTTGAAAAATCGTGGCTTTACTTGACTGAACAGTTAGCAAACATTTTCCAAATTACTTCAACTAAATATGGTAGATTTTTGCCACGAACCCAATAAACCATTCTCGTGTAACTTGGATGATATAGACTGTATATTTAGGTATAATGGCACAAACCAACCCCTTGACAAGGCATCAGCCACTATGTTTTCTCTTCCTGGTCATATTTTTGTAACTATGAATGTGAGATTTTCATCAATGGCACTGACAACAGCTTTCAAAATTCTTCTTCTTTCATATATTTGATAGGGCTTCTTTTGATAGAGGAAATGTTTATACAAGTGGTCTGATTTTATCCGAAAATCTGGGAATCCATTTCGCATAAAGGGAAAACATTTTCAATACTCGTTTGAATGAAGAATGATCTCCTGGTGGAGGCCATTCTAAGAATGGATGAAGACGATTTAGGATCAGGTTTGATTTGTTAATATTCTGGGAGATTTATTTTTCTCAGTCCCTACTTTGAATTAGTAGAGTTTATAATAAGTTCATACTTTTCAGAAACTTTGAAGATTTTTGTCATGCTCTTCTTGAGTCTTACCACCTACTGTGATATCATCAATATAGGAATATGTGCCTCGAGAATTTTCTTTTTTGATTATACTCTCAACAACTCTTTGAAAACTGGCAACTCCATTGGTAACACCAAAAGGTATTCTCGGGAATTCATATAATTAGCCGCACGCCTCAAACGCTTTTTAAGGTTTTTCATGTTCGAGAATTGAAATTTGGTGATATGCACTCTTTAGATCTATAGTGCCGAAAACTTGGTACTGTAGTATAACATACCCGGGTTCGTTCAGTAAGATTGAACGATGAGAATTTTTATTACCTTTAAATAACAAATCTTCTGAAAAACGAAATGAAAAACAAATCGGACCTACGTTGTGGAAACTTACTCAATTTTACTTACTGGACATGCGCTCAACATAGCAAATATTTGGGAAATTTAAGGGAATTTATGATATGTAAAAGAAACGAAAAATTTGTGAAACGTCTACTTTATTATTAAAGTAAATCGTAACGTTCTCATCCTGGAACTTACAAGGGAAAAGAGCACGGCAGAGAAACCCTCGATTTACATTCCTCAAAAATCGAAACATACTGTGTCATTTTAATAATAATTGTGAGTCATTAATTCAATAAATGTTGAAACTAGGTACCTACCGTCTCTGTTCTTGTACTAAATTTTTTATTACACACACTAGATTCAATCAACACTACCTATATTGATTACTGAAGAGTTTTTGGTTAGTTAGCCAGTTTCTCAGCAGGTACTGAGGTCCCATACGGAAGCTACTCAAAATTGTGCATCAATGTCCTTCTCCATGTTTCATCTCCTTTTAGGAGGGTCGTTTTTGAGTGGTCTTCCAAATAGCCATCTTGTCGAGCCTCTCGTAATTCCCACCTTTCGTCGACTGATTGAAGTTGGTTGTACTATTAAGCTTGCCCTGTGTCCAAATCGCCTCGCAAAAGAGCTTCTTATGGTATTTAAAAAACTTTCGCAAATTGTTTTTAATAGTTTTAATATGGGTTTATCGTTTTTGCAAAACTTTTAAGGTTAAGAAATCAGTTCCATGTTCATAATTTTTGGCCTTCGAGTATTAATAAAAAGTTCAAAAGAACATTCTTGTTAATAGAAACTACTGTTCAGTTGTACGCTGTGCTTGACAATCAGGAAATAAAAGTCAAAATACAATTTGTATTCAGCGTAATGTATATTACCAGCTACCTAGCGCTTTCGGCTTTCAGCAATTATCAGGGCAACAATACTTCTTATCTAAAATATTCAACATTGTGTAACTAAAGCACAACAAAAGCTTTTGAGAAAGATGGTTTTTGTGTTTTTGGTGGTGTCGCCTTTTGACAAGTACCTAAGTGTCCTTCTGCCCTTCTGTTGTTGTCCATTCTCAGCTTTCACGTTCATGTTTTTGAGTCCTCGATTTTAAATTTGCTAAAGGTGTATAAAAAAGGAACGTAAAATTTTTAATAAGTGCACTTTATCTAAAGCTGGCTGGAAAAAAAGGAGCATTAAATTTTCAAATAGTGCATTTATTCAGCATTCGATTATGGTATAATTGGATTTGTGTGTGCTGATCTTGCTCTTCTAGCTTTGTTTCTTGGGTTTAATAGCTATAGTGTTATTGAGATTCGTGAGTAGAGAACTAGAGCTGCAGGAGTAATATCTGCTTGCATCAAAATGCATATTTTCAAGGTATCCAGATTTCCATTGAATGCCATCTCAAGTTTTGAATGATAATGTAGAAAATCGTGGCCCAAAACATAATAATATCCAAGCAAAGATTTTTCATAATGTGGCTGATTCTCAACTTGAACGGTCACAAAATTAATTAAAACATATCACGTCCATCCATTTTTTAATTTATTTCTGTTCCTTTTCGAATTGAGGACATTTTCCATATAATTCAAAAAACATAAGAACATAATTATAATCTGTACCCTAATTACCATTTTCCATCAGCAACCCTGATACTGCAACCAACACTACACTCTTGACAGCAACTTTTTAATAACTCCCAAATTCCCCGCTAGGGTGTTTCTGACAAACTCAATGCTGACAACACATGAAATAGGGATCAATTTACAAGTTGGAAATAAAGATCTACTACACTTGTAAAGGGGCGAGCTCAATCAAAGGGGACTACAGTTATTTTGTGAGGATTTATTGTCATATCCTACCTATCGCACCATACAAGTACCTACCTGGCCCTTCTCTGATGTGCGCGTCCAGCATAGCAGAGCAGGACTAAGCATATTTTCATACTTTGAATAAGGTACTTTTAATACCGTTGAAATGAAGCAATAATCTTGTATCTTTTGTTTTGAATGCCGAGGAGAATATTGTCCATGACTCTTTGGAATGTGGACGGGGCATTTTTCAATCCAAATGGCATACGTACGAATTCGTAATGGCCATTTTCTACGGAAAAGGCGGTTTTCAAAACATCCTTGCGATCTACTTCTATTTGGTGAAAACCTGAGGCTATAGGTCAAGGGTAGTGAAATATTGACATTTTCCCAATTGATCCAGAAGATCGGAAATACTAGGCAGCAGGTATTTTTTGTCTACAGTAAATTCGTTGACTTCACTGTAGTCGATTACGACGCGCCATTTGAGTTTGCCAGAAGCATCAAGTTTCTTAGGAACAACTCAGACGGGAGAAGACCATGGACATACAGAATGGAGAATTATGCTTGGTCTAGCATTTTGGTTTCATGTTTATTCAGCAGAACATAATATAACATATATAAGGTCAAAAGTAGTCGATGTTAGAGAATGTATTTCAAAGCTCAAATGGAGCTAGTGTTTGTCATTAATTTCTCCCAGTCCTCGCGTATAAAAGTTTCACAATGCCTAACAGAATTTTGCCACATGTCTGGAATATAGGCAGACAAAGCCTTTTTCCATAAACTTACAAATCTGTATAGGATTATATTGACAATGGTATAGAGTTAATCTCAAAACTTCATGGCCATGTCTACTGAGAACCTCGTCAAACACATATTTTTCGTTCAAAATATAAAAATATGCTTCAGTCCTGCTCTGCTATTTTTCAGTGTGTCAAAATATGAAACATGCGTAACCTCCCAAAGACATATCAAAATGTTACCAACTTATGCAGGTAATCAATAAAATAAAATCCGTATCAACTACCAACTGAAAGGTGATAAATCTAACTTTACTTTTGGACTTCGGATTGTGAAAAGATTTTATTATCCGTTCACAATCCGATGTCCACAGGTACCTACAGGTAAAATTTATCACCTTTCAATGCTATTTGATAGGGAAAGGTGATAAATTTACCTGTACCTGTGGACATCGGATTGTGAAAAGGATATACCTATATCTTACAGGTACCCCCAAAATTTTAAATGCAAAAGGGGGTCGAGTGATGCATCATTTGCAAAGTAAAATTTAAACAAAAAGGCTATTTGAAGAGGCACATGTTAACACACTCGGATATTCATCCTTTTGAATGTGACACTTGCAAAGCAAAATTTAAAAGAAACGGCGATTTGAAGATGCACATGTTAACACACTCGGCTATTCATCCTTTCGAATGTGACACATGCAAAGCTAAATTTAAAAGAAAATGCAATTTGATGATGCCCATGTTGACACACTCGGATATTTATCCTTTTGAATGTAGCACTTGCACAGCGAAATTTAAACGAAAAGACCATCTGAAAAGTCACATGTTAACACACTCGGATATTAATCCTTTTAAATGTGACAATTGCAAAGCAAAATTTAAACGAAAAGGCCAGTTGAAGACTCATATATCAACACGCTCTGATGAGAAGAATATATTCATTAACATTATATCCTCGATGTTTTAAGTTGCTACTATTTACCCTGTCAAAATGGCTGCTTGTCAGTGTTAGGAAAAATCAATGGAAAAATGCTGTGTGATTTTTACCTGTTACCTACGCATAGGTGTGACAGGTAAAAACTATACAGTTTAGATTATCAAAAAAAGCATTTATCCTAACTTTGACATGCCGCCATTTCGGCAGGGTAAATAATAGTTATTTATGCAACAAGTGTGTAAAGTGAACCGAGTGCGACAATCACATGAGTGAAAAAAGGTGCTTTACGCACGTATTGCATACAAATTTTTTTCTACTACCAATCAAATATGTGTGAAAAAATAAATTTATACAAATACTTTACGAACTAGTGCGTGAAGTATTTTCACTTTACGCACTAGTGCGTGAAGTAATTTACCAGAAAAATACTAGTGACAGTGTCAACATCTGTCATTGACATTACTTTACGCACCAGTGTGTGAAGTGAATTACTTTATGCACTAGTGCGTGAAGTGGTATTTTACGTCTTCTGAATAGTGTGTAAAGTGAGTACTTTACGCACGGTAGTAGAAAAAATCCGTTTTTTTTTAAAGATAAAAGTCAAAATGACATTATGTTGGCAATACAATGTAAAATTGTCAATGCTTCAATTTTTTTATGTAGAAAAGGCTTGTGTTGCCAACAAAGTTACTAAATTTTTGACTTGGGGAATTATCTTTAAAAAAAAACAGACTTTAGTAGCAACTTAAAACTTCGGGGATATACCTAATCTTAATGAAAATAGCTACAAAATGACATATCACTCAACCCCTTTTGCTGTTACCCCCACTTAGGGGTTGACAGGTACGGGGTGAAAATACCAATAAAATGTGTTTCCCAAAAAACAAAAATTGACGTATCTGAGCGATTTTTGATTAAACACCCAACACCTGAGAAACTCTGGGTGGGAAGTTTTTCATGCCCCACCCTGTATATACTAATCTTGTTTTTGACCAGCTAGTTGGTATGTGACACCAAGGTGAACTTGATCTGAGTATCCTTAATTAGAATATTCAGTCCGTTTTGGAGTAGAGCCGGAAATATACCATCCTAGAGGTATTCAAGGTACCATCAGGTCGTTAAATCGATCCCCAGATCCCACACCGATTCTCTGTACAGAATCTTGTGGATTCTGGCACTGCTTGGTGCATCTGACACTTTTTCACAGAACCTCTTCCACGAATCTGTTTTCGCATTCCCAATACCTACATACTTATTTCATTTTGTATATAATTTTTCTCTACTTCCTATTAAAATTTAATAATTATTCATTAAATAAAAACTCGTGCAGCCTCTTCCCAATCCTTCATCATTTTTATTTCCACCCGAATCACCTGTCAAAAATTAAAAACAAGATCCTCAACCATTGCAAAGGCGCGAAAACCAAGAGGGAGGCGCACACACACACACACACAAACACACGTAATAATTAAGTTACAAAACGTTATCTAAGACACAATCGAAATCATTAATAAAGTATACAAACGAACCGCTGCAAGATTCGCCAGAACTGACTTATCTTTATTTCGAATCTGCATTATTGTCGAGACCTCTTTTGCTTGGAAGTTATGGCGCTGTTGCTTTCCTGATGCGCCAGCAAGATATAAGGATGTTGTATCTTCATTTAGAAATGTTTCGTGACAGCTATAAATATTAAAATTATAATTTCAGTTGCTCGGCTTGGCCGCTGTATTTCAAAGAGTGAAATCTGAGGAACACTACAACAAAACATTGACGCACGGTATGGGTATTCGTGGTGGTAATAGGCATAGGCATCACGCGGAATACCTGTAAGTAACTTACTTCAATTTTAAACCAGTACATAATTATTTTTTGTTATTATAGTGATTTGTTTGAAAATAGAGGTCACTATCCGAATCCGACGATACCTCTCGAACTGATGTTTGGCGAACCAAAGAGAAACCAGAGCGAAATCCATCGGCAATTGAGAAAAGAGTTTGCTCAGGTTAAGGATTACGCTTTCGGGGTGAATTGTTGTCCGACAGTGATCGAAATGACCGAACCCGATGGTGGTAAAAACGATCAGGGGATGTTTGTGGAGCTTTATAGAAGTGATAATTATAAACAAAGGTATACGAATCTAGAAGGGTCAAGAGTGATTTTCTGATTTAGTGATTTTTTTTTAAGGTTTTATGAGCTTTCTTGTCACGCCTCTATTCTGAACCAGCCCTGTCGATTTATGGAGAAGCACCTGCAAAGTTATTCGAGGTACGTATTTTTCTTTTAAAATTTGGATAATGTTCCGATGATTGTACGAAACACCGGACACCCTCAGGCCAAAGGCAAAAACATTTTTCAAATTTTGCATAGCATAGAAACTTCCTCCAATTTCCCCAGATTGCTTCAATAATTCCGCATACCCGCCTACTACATTCACAAACCTTCCTTTTTTAAAATTAAGAATGACGAATCAGATTCATGAATCAAAAAAAGAAGCATCTTTGAAATCGCAGAACCCCCTCTTTCCGTTTGAACTTCTCTATGCTTCCCCCTGGATTTCCACAAAATTTCCCAGCTAATTTCTTCCTCGTTTTTCCCATTGATATTTAGTATGGCACTCTTTCCAGCACTAGTACTACAATAACGAAACATTTTTTCCAGATATGTGCAGACCTACAGTTTCCAAATTTTGCATAGAATAAAGACTTCCTCCACTTTCCTCAGATTGCCTTAATAATTCCGCATACCCACCTATCACGTTCGCAGGACCTCCTTTTTGAAAATTAAGACTGACGAATCAGATTTATGAATCAAAAAAAGAAGCTTCTTTGGAATCGCAGAACTCCCTCTTTCCGTTTGAACTTCTCTATCCTTCTCCCTGGATTTCCACAAAATTTCTCAGCTAATTTTTTTCTCGCTCTCCCGATTGTCATTTAGTATGGTACTATTTCCAGTACTAGTACTACAATAACGAAACATTTTTTCCAGATGTGTGCAGACCTACAGTTTCCAAATTTTTCATAGAATAGAAACTTCCTCCACTTTCCTCAGATTGCCTCAATAAGTTCGCATACCCGCCTACCACGTTCGCAAAACTTCCTTTTTGAAAATTAAGAATGACGAATCAGATTCATGAATCAAAAAAAAAGAAGCTTCTTTGAAATCGCCAGAACCACCTCTTTCCGTTTGAGCTTTGCTCTGCTTCTCCTTAGATTTCAACAAAATTTCTCAGCTTATTTCTCCCCATTGTCATTTAGTATGGTACTATTTCCAGCACAAGTACTAATAGCGAAACATTTTTTCCAGATGTATGCAGACCTACAGTTTCCAAATTTTGCATAGAATAGAAACTTCCTCCACTTTCCTCAGATTGCCTCAATAATTCCGCATACCCGCCTACCACGTTCGCAAAACTTCCTTTTTGAAAATTAAGAATGACAAATCAAATTCATAAATCAAAAAAAGAAGCTTCTTTGAAATCGCAGAACCACCTCTTTCCGTTTGAACTTCTCAATGCTTTCCCCTAGATTTCCACAAAATTTCTCAGCTAATTTCTCCTCCGCTCTCCCCAGTACCATTTCCAGCACTAGTACTACAATAACGAAACATTTTTTCCAGATGTGTGCAGACCTACAGTTTCCAAATTTTGCATAGAATAGAAACTTCCTCCACTTTCATCAGATTGCCTCAATAATTCCGCATACCACGTTCGCAAAACTTTCTTTTTGAAAATCCAGAATGACGAATCAAATTCATGAATCAAAAAAAGAAGCTTCTTTGAAATGGCAGAAGCACCTCCTTCCGTTTGAACTTGTCTATTCTTCCCCCTGGATTTCCACAAAATTTCTTAGCTAATTTCTTCTCGGCTCTCCCCATTGTCATTAAGTATGGTACTATGCACTAGTACTACATGCAATAACGAAAAATTTTTTCCAGATGTGCGCAAACCTACAGTTTCCAAATTTTGCATAAAATAGAAACTTCCTCCACTTTCCTCAGATTGACCCAATAAATCCGCATACCCACTTATTACCACGTTCGCAAAACTTCCTTTTTGAAAATTAAGAATAACGAATCAGATTCATGAATCAAAAAAAGAAGCTTCTTTGAAATCGCAGAACCACCTCTTTCCGTTTAAACTTTTCCATTTTTCCCCCTAGATTTCGACAAAATTTTTCAGCTAATTTCTCCTCCGCTCTCCCCATTGTCATTCAGTATGGTACTATTTCCAACACTAGTACTACAATAGCGAAACATTTTTTCCAGATGTGTGCAGACCTACAGTTACACCTACGCTTTGGTGAAAGACACGCCCTCGGTCAGGACCAAGAACCGGCCTACGTTTCCCGGAGCGGCCGGAAACGGTAACAGCAGCTACACGCTCGACTACATCAGCGTGCGTAGCGGATGCGCTTGCGTGGTGATGCCCAGAGAGAAACGGAGACACAAAAAAGACAAGATCAGACTTAAGTCGTATAGAAGAAGTAGGCCATAGAATTTTGTCCAGTATTTTTTTTTGCCTGCTACGGCTGTGATTTTAAGTTGTTGATGATCGAAAAATAGAGTAATAGTTATGTGTCCTTTGATAATGATAACTTTAACATTGGCAAGTGGATTTTTGAATTTCTCGTATCTCTTCTGATTCATTATTTACTTATATGTATATGCTCCTCAGGAGTTTGTTGCTTTGTACTGAAACCTACTCAGAAGTCCCAGAACTATCATTGCTTAGCTACTAGATTCTCCATTTTCATAGAGATGTCTTCTTAATTTGTCTCTCTGTTGCAAGTTTTGTTTTTCTGTTTATTTCTTCATTTTTCTTCTTACTCTCAGAGAAAATAACATTCTTGCTTCTTTGTCGTTGAGCCAACACATCCAAAACTGAGGCCCATAAATAGTAATTTCTAAGATTTTTGATCCCACTTTCTCCACAATAATGGATCTGGTATATAAGACCTCAACCGGAATTTTTTTAACCTATTTTCGAGCAGCTTGAACAGACTTCAATGAGAATTTACCTATTTTTTTCACATGTTAAAGCTAAAATTATCATTATTGAAGCATACTATCATTTTTCGACATCAATTTTTCAAAGCTGTGGTGGACTTTTTTTTAAAAAAAATATTCTAATTTATTTAATACCAAAGTATTTTTTTCGCGAATTAAGTATATATATTTAAGTGTACATTTTCTTTAGTGCGCGAGAGTGTTTTCTTTAAGGGACCTTTTTATTTAGTACCGGACTTTTAACTAAACATTCCATTTTTCTTCCTTGTACAGTGTGCTCTTGTGAATTTTATTTATAGACTTTTTTGACACGAAATATTTGTTGCTACCTAATTTTCGTACCACTAAACATCACATGAAATGTTGAGGAATTTGCTTGTATCAGCATTTATATACAGAGGGTGGTCGTTATGTAGGGAAACAGTCTAACATTTCAGAAAAATGTACAATATTTCCTACTTGAGGGATTTTGGGAATTTACATTTTTCTGAAATATTAGGCCGTTTCCATAGATAACGACAACCCTGTATACTATGAAATTGTTTATGGACACAAGCAATTTTGACCAGTTTCTTTTTATATTATATGTTTCAGGCTCAGCTGATACCATTTTTTTTTTTTTAGAGGAGACAAAAATTTATTCAACTAGGAAATTCTAAACAGCAAAATTGTTGGTAGATTGTAGCCAAAACCGTGTAGATTGAATAATTAAAGATTGTCTCCTCTAAATGGACTTCTCAAAACTGCTTCAATTTAATATATTGAAACCAGCTTATTGTAAGGCATTATAACATATAGTCGCAGTATTATTGCAATTTCGAATGCATTTACCAGTGTAAGAGGAAAAAGCTTACTTAAAAATATGAAAACCATGACATAATATACAGGGTGTCCAATGTACAGAATACCACTTTTCATTATGCCAAGAAATTCTATTTGAGTTTCTGACTTTTTGTTAGAAATTTCATTTGCATCATTAAAGAATTTGTCACACTTAGGTATTTTGAGCAATAATGAAAACTGGTTTTCGGAGTACCTACCCTGTGTACAAAAAATAAATTCTATAGAATAAAATTCTATTTCCACTAACAAAGTTGCATTTACATAGGGTATTTCAATATTATTTTTATTCTATAGAATTTTTTGTATTAAATCTTATTATTATTATTTTTGAAATGTTTTTTGATATTAGACTGATTAATTATTAATAATAAATATTGCCATATTATAAACAAATAATGCTATTTATTATAAGCAAGGCTTTTTAAAAATTAAACGACGTTACCGCATTATAATTTTTTGTAATTTTTATATAATTATTATACCAGGCTTTCATTTATTATATCAATCTGTTGTAAATACCTTTTAATTATTATGGTGCAATATTTTTTTACTAATAATATTATATTTTTTGATGTTTTATATTTATTTCATAACAAAATTAATTGTTTATCCGGCCCTGTAAATATTAATTTTTCTGTAATTTTGTATTATTAACTCACTATAATTATTTATTTAAAATTAATTTTTGTGTTTATTTCTTAATTTTTGATTGAAAAAAAAAAATGTTATTTATTTTTATATACAGTTTTAGTAGAGAGGGCTTTTTTTTTGTACTTATATTTTAATAAATTTGCCTGAATAATTTCAAATTTACTGGAAAAAATAAATAAATCTATATATCTAAATGTGAAATAAATAAATAATATAACGAAATGTTACGCAAATAAAGAAAAAAAAAGTGTAATTCAGAAAAAATGTAGTTTTAATTATCAAGAAAAATAATTTTAATTAATATACAGTGTTATTGTTATGTATGGAAATGGCCTAATATTTCTGAGCAATATACCATATTTCCTACCCGATTCAATGGGGGTATTTGCAATGTTGCCAACCTTATCGTTTGTGAGATGTCGTAATAACTCGATTTTTTTTTTAAATGAAATTCCCTCTTTATTTTTATCGTTATTAATTCAGCGTCCCAACATTACTAAAACCTCTAAATGCCAAATCTCCATTTGACTTGGTTTTTGAAATATTGCAACACAGCTTTTTTGTGGAAATGTATGGAAACAGTCTCATATTTCAGAACAGGCTTTAGAAAAATGTGATTGTACTGTATTCAAGATTTGTAGGGGGGCTGGTCGGTAAGCCAAAGTAGGAAATATTGTATAAACCTATTCTGAGATACGAGACCGTTACCATATACATCTCAATGAAAAAGCTGTGTTGCCATATTTCAAAAACCAAGGAGGTTTGGCATTTAGGTTTTTTTTTTCAGTAATGTTGAGACGCTGAATTGACTATAATAACAATAAAGAGCGACTTTCATTTGAAAAAATCAAGTTGCATACGGCTGCGGCATCTTAGAAACGGTAAACTTGGCAACATTGCGAATACCATTGAATCGGACATTCCCAAAAACCCCCAGGTAAGAAATATGGTAGGTACCTACCTACATTGTTCTTGAGCGTGTTCAAAAATATTAGGCCGTTTCCATACATAACGACAGCCCTGTATTGTAAATAATTAAATAATTTTTTTTACTACTAACCTGAGAAATAGACATTATTCAATCTATTTTTCTAAGAAAAAATTGAATTTCTCTCCCTAGGTTAATAATGAAAATAATGAAAAAATACCTAGGTCAATAATGAAAATGACGTCATGACGCAAGGATATTGTCATGTTTCTATTGGTTCAATTTCAATTTCATACGTCAATTTGAAAAAAAATACAGGTTTCTGTAGGTACATAGGAAGTTATATAAGATGTTGATAGAGGGCAGTACTTTCAAGAGGGCGTTCACAAAAAATAATTACAACACAGATTTTGAACAAATTTTTTATTTTTTACTAGCAGTAGGTAGTAAAAAAAATTCTATATATTCCTCGGTAGAGAAAGTCATTATATACCTCAAGCTTTCGGTATATAATGACCAACTTCTCTACCTAGGTATATAATATACTATTATCTACGACCTGCACAATAAGCGACTATTATGTCACTAATTTTTGCTCATTTGCGTTATGTATAGTGAGCCCTATTACCGCAGTAGTGTAGTAAGAAATTTTTATTTTTATTATAACTACAGAATCGAGTACACAATAGTTAGTGATAATTATTTATAATAGACAAACGACAATACTCACTTATTGTCCAGGTCGTAGATAAAATGTTGTATATCACACGTACGGAAAGGCTCATTACAACACTCGTGTGGTAATATTCCCTACTCGTTACTGTAATGAAGCTCATACCGTACTAGTAATATAAATAACTAATAATTAATTAATCACCAAAAAAAAAATTGTGCTCAAGTGTGCCCACTTGAGCGTATTTGTGTTCCATCCTTGTCTAGGGGAGTGCTAACCGTCTCTCCTTTCATACAACACGATTACATATGTTTTAAATCTTGTATTTGAGCTGAAATGTCCGCGAAGGGTAACGATATAATGTAGCTGCAAAATTTGACATCAGCGCCATCTCATTAAAAAGCAATAAACTACAAAAAAGTCTATTTGTTTTGAAGTAGGGTTGACAAACTATCGAAAAAAAAACTATCGATAGTGATATCGATAGAATGGCCTACCCATCGATAGTAACTATCGATTGTACTATCGATAGTTTGCTCTGACCAAAGTAACCAAATTTGTAATTAATTACGATAAACATTAACCTCCAACCTCCGTCAAGCCCATCAAAGTCACTCGTCACTCCTCCTAACCGAAAAATTGGCAGCACAGCATGTCTATCCCCAAAAATAATTACAGATTTCTCCAAAAGACTACAGATTTCTTTATAATTCCCTCAATATACAGATGTTTTCATTTACCTTTGGCTACATTGGAACTATCGATATTGGTGCAGGTCTATCGATACTACCGAAAATTAAAAAATTATCGATAGTATCGATATTCCTATCGATAGTTTGTTATCCCTATTTTGAAGGAGTCTGATCTGCTCGGAGCAGCAAATGAAATGCTTTTTTGTGTGTTGGTTACACTAATTTGAACCGAGTGCAAAATCTTTCAGTCTTTTTCGAAGCCTTCTGTGCTTTTGAATAACAAAATAAAATAAGTAATTTAATTCCATATAGCACACAACAGACATCTCAAAACTAAGAAGATGTCCACAAACGAGCATTTTATAATTTGCAATTTTTGTCTATTCCAGGCGCTAGGCTTTCTGAAATAATTCTGAGGTTATTCAAATGTTCTTGAGCCTTTTGCATACCTTGCGTTCGGTATTTTGCTCAAAGAGCAGAGCGTACTGAGCGGAGCCATGATCACGTGACCAGCGAGCGAACAAAGCACTCAGAGCAGTTCTATCAGAGTGCCCGAAATTTTGATAAACGAACGCGAATGAGCCTAATCGGAGTACATTTTTTAGATAAACGAACGGTAAATTCAAGCTCGGAGTACTCAGATCAAAATACCGAACGCGATTGGTTTAAATATGACACTGACTTGACTCTTTTTTAATTTACACAATACAACACAACAGGAAAATGCGTATCAGTTTTATGTTTGGCCAAGTGTAAATAAAACGATTTTCAATTTTGTAACAATAACCACAACGTGACAACACAACAAGCTGGACAGTTTCCACATTTCACTTCTGCGCATGCTTACTCTAAAAAATTCTCTTTCCGAGGTGGAACTTTTGGAGTGAACTCCATTTACTCCACCCCGTATAGTCCAACGCTAATAGAGTCACCCCTCGCCAAAAAGCAATACCCGAACGGCTGAAGTGCGAATGGAGTTACTCGGAGTGCACGAAGTAAGCAAGTCGAACGATCTAAGAGTCGAACCCACCTTACATTGTTCTGACAGATTTTAAAGTATTTTGGAGCCCTATTTGAAGCTTCAAAGTGTTCTAAATTGGTTCAAAAGAGGTTTCTAGTCCTAAATTGAATTCAAATTGTTTTAAAATAACTCTGAAGTTTTGGACTTTCTTAAAGGCTTATTAAAATTGTAAAGTGTTCTGTAGCATTCTAAATGGGGTTTTCAGTAACTTCTTAATTGAATGATAAACGAGTTATATGGGAAAGACGTTTTGCTTACGTCTAATTGAAGGCGTCTTTGGTCTATGTCTAAAAAATACGTCTTTTTAAACATGTGTTGTCTGTGCTTTCCTTTCCAGTACAGAGAGTGCAGTTTGTTCCAAACTGCTTCAGTTCATGTTCAACCTGCACTTTCTTTCGAGGAGGAGTAAAGGTTTGTTTGTTTGTGTTGTTCGGGGCAGCACTTCCTGCTTTGTGAGCGTTTTATATGGGTGTATCTTCCATTATCTAAACTATTTCAGCCAAGTTCAAGTTAGTGCGACGCAAACAAACAAACCTTAAGATAAGGCACGTAGCTGAAGTTAGCTTCATATTCATATTCAGATTCGTGTATATTACAGTCGACCAGATAATTATTGAAAAGAAAAATTAAAAAACCGTGAAATTCAATCAAATACAATTTTTATATTATGTAGGGGATTTCTGGGATTCGGAAAAAGTAGAAATAACCCTCAGGCACATTCGAGGATATTTGCTCCAGTTAAGTTAGGTCTGGAAAAGTTACTACGAGGGAAAAAACGATAATTTGTTTGAAAATTTGTGGAAAAATATTGATGCTTTGTGCAATTTTTTTGAAATTTGAGGATGATAGAGTTCGGTTGACCCATAAGCACAGTTCAGAAGAGTTTTTACAGTCAAGTTAGGACTGGGAGATTCATTACGGGGGGAAATCAATAATTTGTTGGAAAATTCGTGAAAAATCAATGATACTTTGTAGAGATTTTTCGAAGTTTGAAAATGATAGAGTTGACCCTAAAGCTGAGTACAGAATAGTTTTTGCATTCAAGTTAGGTTTGGGAGATTCGTTACGGGGGGAAGTCGATAATTTATTGGAAAATTCGTGAAAAATTAATGATACTTTGTAGGGATTTTTTGAAGGTTGAGAATGATAGAGTAGAACCTAAACCAGAGTCCAAAATAGTTTTTGTATCATTAATTTTTGACGAATTTTCCAATAAATTATCGACTTTCCCCCGTGACGAATTTCCCAGACCTAACTTGAATGCAAAAATTATTCTGGACTCTACTTTAGGTTCTACTCTATCATTCTCAACCTTCAAAAAATCCCTACAAAGTTCCATTAATTTTTCACGAATTTTCCAATAAATTATCGACTTCCCTCCGTAACGAGTCTCCCAGACCTAACTTGATTGCAAAAACTATTCTGGACTCTGCTTTAGGGTCTACTCTATCATTCTCAACCTTCAAAAAATCCCTACAAAGTACCATTAATTTTTCACGAATTTTCCAATAAATTATCGACTTCCCTCCGTAACGAGTCTCCCAGACCTAACTTGATTGCAAAAACTATTCTGGACTCAGCTTTAGGGTATACTCTATCATTCTCAACCTTCAAAAAATCCCTACAAAGTACCATTAATTTTTCACGAATTTTCCAATAAATTATCGACTTCCCTCCGTAACGAGTCTCCCAGACCTAACTTGATTGCAAAAACTATTCTGGACTCTACTTTAGGGTCTACTCTATCATTCTCAACCTTCAAAAAATCCCTACAAAGTTCCATTAATTTTTCACGAATTTTCCAATAAATTATCGACTTTTCCCCGTAACGAATCTCCCAGACCTAACTTGAATGCAAAAACTATTCTGGACTCAGCTT